AATATGACATCCGAAATTTGTGGAAGTTCGGTGCTATTTGTGGTGTCCAATTACACCATGTCAAATAGGGCAATGGAATCATGTACCGCCTTTGAATAAATGTTGATGTAAGTGTCATGTGTATCACAAGACACGATCAAATGAAAAGTATTGGGCCTAGTCTGCCCAACAGGGTCTAGTTGGTTCCTCGATGGATGTCCAACTATGATTGTCATGCCGACACCCAAATCCATGTCAGATTTGAGTATCTAGGGTGTTATTTTATGTGTCAAAAAATAATATGTTGAATCGGGCACCGGAATCAGATACCATGTCTGAGCAAATGGTAAACTAGGTTAGCAAGCACACATGTGTAGCATGGGTACACCGACATGTAGAGCATCATGGCAACTGCCCCAATTGTTCATTAATTACATAGACCTCGATAGGTGTCCAACTTCATTTGTGTAGTCCGACAGTGGTATATATCGTGTCAAATTTTTGTATCGAAATCCAATAACACATTCGACTAAGCATCATTCTTACATCACACATACATGCTAATGAGTTGTTTCTGCTTTGTTCCTCTCGACGGGTAGGCGCCCCGCCTCACCCACTACATGTGTCGACGAGGCTCCTCCGTCCATCGTTCCATCTACCACTTGGGGTCCTGGATTTAGGGTTTGGTTCCTTGACGACGACGATGGTGGTGGTGGCGATGCGTGATAAGCATAATATTTCCCCTACTTCTGGTCCACCTTGTTGGAGACTATCAATGGTGGCTCTGGTCATTGCTCTTCCAGTGTGTTGTGGATATGTTATCTCCTCGTGTTTTGTAGATGGTCTTCGAAGGCGTCGTCGAGTGGAATAGACGACATGCTTCATATCTTGCTCCTTCTCCAATCATCGAAGCGCTTCATGTCTTGGTCCTCTAGCTCCTTCTTCAACCAATGAACTTCGACTAGCTTCAGCTTCGTCATGAGCTAGTGAGATGAGGTCTCCCCCAACCCATCCGTCGGGATCTACGATGGTCATCCAGCCCTCTTTTGTCGTGATCTGTTCTTCTTACGCCTTTTGGACCAGCCAATGACCTGTCGGCCACTACATCAACAATGTTTCCACAACTCCGGTGGTGTTTCAGAGGTATAGAGGGAATATTGAGTTTTGCTCACGGCATCGATTTCCTGAAGGACCTGTGCATAATTTGTTGCTTCTTTAGGGATGGTCCTCTAGGGTTGGTTCACTTCAATACATGAATTTGGCCTCTTTGCCAAAAAAAGTAGCGAGCTAATAATTGCTTGCGAGGCTGAGGCTGGCGATTGCCCATCCAAGCAACTAGCTCACACCCTGATTTTACCTTGATTTTCCATCTTTCTAAAATGATACACAAATCATGACAGTGTCCTAGTAGACACTGACATGCAAACAATTGTAAACAAGATAAATCCATTATGATGTATAAGTTATCAAATAAGCAAGCCAAACGAGCTGTAATACAATTCCCGGGTGGGAAACATCAATGATGATACATCATCTTAGGCCCTGTTTGGTTCATAAGTCCTAGGAATTTTTCTAGTCCCAACTAAAAAGTCTCTAGTCCCTAAAAAGTCCCTCCATGTTTGTTTCCAGAGACTAAAAAGTCCCTAGTCTCTTCCTAGAGGTTATTAAATGACCATGTTGCCCCTAGTATATAGAAAAATAACAATCAAACAACACCATGGGGTGACGGGCCATTGAATGCATGGAGGGGCATTGTTGGAAAAGTCCCAAAAGTCCAAAAAAAGACTCTCCTTGAGAGTCTTCTTCATTTAGTCCCAAATGCCTAGTTTACTCCCTAAAAAGTCCCTCCCGTTTGATAAAAAAAAAGTCTTTAAGAGGGACTTTTTCTAATCCCTACACAAAAAAGTCCCTGAAAACAAACACCCCCTTAGACTCTTATAGCTTGTCGATGCTCTTGGGTGTCATTATTCAAAAATAATAATACACCTAAGATCTAGCGGCCTAGCTATACTCCTGAACTAGGGCGCCTTACCCCATGCGAAGTACTACTTTATTCAATGACAAGAGTAAATTATCAAAAACCACCATAATTACGTCGCTCAGTGCGAAAAACCCCCATTTTCATAAAAGTTTGCTGAAAATACCGATTTTCAGTAATCACGTTGCCGAAAGCACTAACCGGTCGATTGAACGCGTTTCGCGTTTTGACAGCGAACCTGACGGCTCATCCCCACCAGTCAGTGCAACGTGGCAGTTAACGTGGCTCGCATTGACCTGGTTCGACTGGACCGAGTCAGTCAACGTTGCTGCCATATGGGGTCCATTTGTCATAGGAAGAAAACATAAAAGATTGTTTTTCCTTTCTCTTTATCTCCCCACGAGCCACCGCCTCGATCCGCCACCACGCACGAGACCACTGGCAGCCGCACCCGCCGGAGCGCCGCCGGCCGGCGAGCTAGGCCGTGAGCAGAGCAAGGCGACAGTCGTGTCTCGCCAGAGTTGGAGAGCATGCGGTTTCCCCTTCCTTTTTTTTTCTGTCCGGAGAGAAAGAGAGCTCCGCCTGAGCACAACCACCATAGACCGCGCGACTAACGGCCTCTGTCGACCTCGCACCCATGTCCAGGAACATCGCCCTCCTCCCCTACGTCCTCCTGCACCTTGAATTTGACGGACGCGTCCCGGTCGCCACTCGCAGGTCTTCTTCCTCCTCTCCGGCCGGACGTCATCGTCTCCAAAATTTGTCGACGGCACTGCACCATCGACTTCCTCGACTCCTTCATTGGCTCCGACACGACGCCACACACACGCTGGACAAGATCCTAGCCATGGCCACTCACGCCACTCCCCCTAGCGCCCCGCCGTCCATGGCGCGCCGCAACACGTCGACTCCGGCAACACGGCCGCGGCAGCCTCCTGGCCCTACGCCCCTGCTCAACCTATCCATATCACCACCACCAGCTCCGCCGGCTTCTGCGGCCCGCAGCGGCGATTGGCAGGGAGGTCGTGGCGGAGGCCATGGCCTGCGTCGGGCACGAGGCAGGTGGAGCTCAGGGGTGGGGAAGGAAGGAGGAGACCGGCGCTAGAGGCGGGGCTGGCAATGCTCGGCTCGCCGGAGTCCATCGACGGACGGCGGCGCGGAGCCGTGCGGTACGCGTGGCGCGAGCAGCGGCCGATCGCTGCACACAACGTATTCGATAAAATGAACAATTGTGCCGACGAGTGAGCCCTTTTGTTAACTTAACGTTTCAGACGACGGCGTTAATTTTTGGTGCCACGTCACTCCTGAAAGTGGGCCCCATCTGTCATACTTCGCATGAAATGGCTATTAATCGACCGGTTAGTGCTTTTGGCAATACGATTACAGAAAATCGGTGTTTTCCAATTTTTTTAATGAAAATGGTGAGTTTTCGCAATGAGCGACACAATTGTGATGGTTTTTGACAATTTACACAATTGACAAATGGCAAGCCCCAACTCTATTTACCAAAGTGTGTTGCACCTATGCTCACACGTGAGTTCACTGGGAGTGTCTGAACTAGTCTCATATTCCCTGCTTGTGTACTTTGAAGAGGTAAACATATTTTTTTTTCTTCTAAGATTTATGTGGATGTAAAACAGTTCAACATGTATTAAAAATTATTGTGCAAATTCGTGTGTCTTCGTTTAGGACCACAAGAACGGGCAATTGTTGTGTATCTTCATTGTATTTTCAAAATACATAATTACAAAAAATTGGCAGTGTTATGTTTTTGAAAACTATTCACCGTGTATTAAAAATAATTGTGTAATAACAGTAAACTCCATAAATGTATTAAGACATGTTAAAGGTGTTTGTAGAAATTTTAGATTAATTTTACCCAATAACTTTTTTAATACACATTGTCAAAAAATTTAATGCATGACAAACATCTTTCCCAAACATGTTTAAAATTTTATAATACATGTGAAACTTTTTTCAAAAACATGTTGAACATTTGGTTTCAAATGAACTAGCATATTCCCTAAATCTTAAACTGTAAATTATCTCATTATTAAGCATTAAGTGGCGTCTTACCTGTTGGTTAGCACACAAACGCATTGGTAGCACCGAGAGGTCCCTGCTTTGAACATCCGGTTCCTTTAATATCTTATTCCATTTCCATCTTTAATGTGTGTTGTTCTTCTATAATATACGTATAAAATAAAATCTGGTAGTCCATTTTAAAACAAAAGCTGTCACGTGGTGTGGTTAGCGACGGCTGCTCGTTAGACCAGCAGATCGTTTGTTCAAAACCCCACCACTGCAATTTTTCCAGTCCAGTTTCATTTGTACTTCTCACTAATCGGTGGGGCCTATAAGGTGGCTGTTTAAATTAAAATTCAAGGAATTATCTAAAGAAAAATTCTAGTCCAATTTTATTTATACTGTTCACTAGCAGTAGGCCCCACCAGGCGACGGTATTTAATTAAAATTCAGGAGTTGTGTGCAGAAAAAAAACATCACACACGGGACATCTAACGCCTCACTCACTCCCAGACACTGACATGTGGGCCATTGTCGCCCTGTCATGCCATGCGGACCGCCTTACACACTCCCAGCTAGCGCCTCACTCACTCACAACCACTGACATGTGGGCCATCGCCGCGCTGTCATGCCATGCGGACCGCCCCCACACACTCCTAGCCATTGCCACGCTGACATGCCACGCGAACAGAGCATACGCCCGAATATGGACGGGGAAACCGTGAGACTGCGAGAAACAAGTTGAGGCACTCCCAGGATCTCAAACCAGCCTTACAACATTTTATCTAAAAAAGAACGATTAAACAATTCATGTCTATTATACTGGATAAATATAAAGCATTCATCTGCCGTTACCCCTGACCTAATTAACTAGCACAATATGTGAGATGTATGCACCAGCCCACGAGATTAATTGAGCAAAAAATACCATTAACGGAGCAACAAATACGTGCTACTCTACCACATTTGTGTAGCAAAGGACAAATATAGCATTATGGAAACACGAAGAAAGACGCACCTTCCACGGGCTCCTGCTTGATGCTGCTGATCAAAGGGGTCGCCGACGGCTGGACCCCAGCGGCGCCGGCGCTCCCAGGGAAAGGGTTCAAGGTCGCACGCAGCAAAGCTGAGGGCTCCACGGCGACGCCATTCGGAGGGAAACCAGTCCCCTGCGATGAGTTTGTCCCGACAGGCGCGGGTGGCGCCGGCGCCGCCGATGAGGACCCGGCATGCCCCTCGAGTCTTCTCCTCTTCGCCCCTAACCGCCCCCCGAGCGACAGCCCGAGGGTAAGGTCCACCTCCTCAGTACCCGACTCCGAGCGCTTCACCTTCTTCTCGCCGTCGTCTCCGCCGCCGACGCCGCGCAGCGAGTCCTTCGAGTAGGCGTCCATCGCCGGCGCCGAAGCCAGGAACTGGTCAGTTGAGAGGAAGCGCCCGCACGCGCACGGACTCGTTCGTCAATTGGTGTTGGTGAGAGAAACGATCACGTAGGAGGAGGAGGATCGAGGAGAGGGGCGCGACTTACAAGGAGTGCGCGGCCGAGGAGGGATCGAGGACACGCTCTGCTCGCCGCTGCCTCGCACGATCGACGACGAAGGAGACGCTCACGCTCTCGCAACAGAAACAGTTTGCCCCTCTCCGGAGGCCCCCCTCGCGGTTTTCGAGGCGTGGGGGCGAAGGGTATTTTCGGAAGCGCGGGCACGGGACGCCGCCCGGTAGGACACTTGTCGTGCCAGGGGGGTGCGCGTGGCGTGGCCCGCGGCGGAGCCGAGCCCGGCCGGAGCGGTAACGCCCGCGGTACAGCCGGGCGCCTGCGGGGCGAACGTGGGGCCACGGGCAAGAGCGGCTGCGGATGCGCCTGCGCGGCCCCGGAGCTTCAGTTTCAACTCCTCGCTTGTCCTCATCGAGTAGAGGGAGGGCCTTTTTGGCCCGATCTCCGGCGAACTGCGTGCGGCCAGCTCGCCGTGCGTGTCGACCTGTCTATCTCTATCTATCTCTATCTATCTCTATCATCTGTCTAGCCGCTTAAAAGGCGACCGTTTTCTGTCTCACGCACGGCAAGGGGCTCGAGCATGGATCATGTTGCGTCGAACAAGTGTCTATATACATGCTGGACAGCTGGCTTTCAGTTTTGATTTCGACTGTAATAAGAGATTAAAGAGTTTTTACGATCCAGACTGCGGTGAAATAAGCTAGCTAGGCGCCAAACGCATTGTGCATTGTGGAGCGGCAGGTAGCTAGATCGAGGCTAGAGCTCTTCGATTTTCACCCAGGCCAACGTCTCCCAACTTCCAAGTCGAAACCAACGACACCCTCCATCGATCGATCCATGGCACTCCCTGCGTTGAGGGTTATGTTTATCTCGGCAAGTTCGCCAAGGTCGTCGGCAGCAGTGGCGACGGCGGCCGCATCGGCAAGACTTCTCCTCGAGCGCCGAGAACTCTTCAATGGGCTCAAATACGCTAGACATCTCTTCAGCAAGACCCGGTGCTGGATTCAGTTCAAACGACTTCGATGTCCACACACCAGTGAAAGTCCTTAGCAGATGATTTACAGTCTCGCGATTTTTGCCGTTTATACATCGTCAGACTGTCTTCTTCAGTTTGGTTACGTCAGATCGTCTTCTTCAGTTTGGTTCGAGAGTTCGTCGACATGGGTAGTAGTCACGTAATTTGCTATGTCAAGCCTCATGTGTGGATCTTTGGTGGTCTTTGTAGCCTCTTCTGTTGAAGACAACATTTTGTAATGCTTTCTGTAAGTAGCAGCTTGCAATCTCATAATGTAATGCTTCATGTGACTGGACAAATGTGAAAAAGACACTAATTGTTCCACATTTTCAAATAATACCACACATTCACACAACTACTGTAAACCTCTATGAAATACAGAGTATAACTTTTGTATTATACTTTGCCTAAGTAGCTGGCAATCTCATCATCTCCGTGCTAGTCCATCAGTTTGTGCAGAAATTCCACCATGCTAACACATACGGGGCAGGTTGGGTATAAAAAGACCTCACAAAGACCTGAAGAAGCTCAGGCCGATGCCAGAATTATATTCAACACACTATATTTCCCACTCCAAGACAAGCACTCGATCTACTAATAATCCACCATTGTACTTGACACATAGTGATCCGAGTAAAAATAAAATTGGAAAAAGCACCACCAATTCTTCCAGGTCGTCGAATAATGTACACGCGGGATGACAAAAATAAATCTCACACAGAACCGAAGAAAAGCACACACCGATGCCAGAATTACAGCACTCTCAGCAGGCTATCTCCCCCTACCCAATCTACATTACAATGTACCCTACCTTGTACACAGCCGTCGGAGTTAATATTACTGAAACAAAACCACTAACTCATCCATAGTTTTGAATAATGTACACGCATGGCAAATATGCAATTCAACTAGGAGCTCGGGGCCGAACTTGCAGTGTCATGTCATCAGCTTTTGTTTCTGCTTTTTTCTCTTTGGGGGAGAAGCCAAGCCAAGATCTTTGCGCAGCTGCTCATCGGGTTGCAGTGTCTTTGGAACAGCACCAAAGGCGCAACGGGTGACCTCCAGCCCTGAGAGTGCTTGGTGCAGGTATACTGATGCATCCTCCAAACTTTGCTTCAGTTTACGAGTCCTTAGAAAAGTGGGGAAGTATGTCTTGGACGCTTGCTGGATTCTTGGCTCTGCTGTAGGAAGGTTTATCTCAGCAGCCTCCATGAATCTGTCGGTTGCTGCCTCCCACGACAAGTCATACATCTGCATATCGGTTAATGGAGTAGGCTGCTCTGCTAGAGCATTCAGTGTGAGTTGTACAAACTCTTCATCGTTGTTGTAGATGCGGCAGTTGGGGAACTGCTTGAAGAACTCATTTGAAGGGTGATTGGCACAGATAACAATTTTTCCCATTGCAAGGGCCTCAGCTGAGGTCGTGCAGACCACATCTGTTGTGCTGGGATTGATGAATACTTTATAGCTGTTGGAAAATGAAGTGATTCACTATTAAGTTTTAAAACACAAACCATAGCAGTATCCTGAATATAAAAATAAATAACAAAATAATATATGTCATTTCTATGATCTATTCCCTCCATCCCATAATATAACATGTCATTACAAACAATAAATATTGGTATTGGTTGTAATAACATGTTATATTACGGGACGGAGGGAGTAGCATTGTAGATTTGCCCCCCAGCCTGATTCAGTACCTTGTGCTCAAGTTGTGATTAAACTAGTAAGCTTGTATTTATCTTCTTTTGAAAAAAGGGTGACACAGAAACAACCCTTATGTCTTCAGTGACATATAGCTATATATAGATTTCAAAATGATATTTCAAATAAAAAGAAAAAAAATGTAGAAAATAAGGAAGATGCAAGGAAATACCCCCCCCCCCCCTCCGGTTCACAAATATAAGATGTTCTAACCTTTTTTTGTGAATCGGGTGTATATAGACACGTTTTAGTGTGTTTCTTCACTCATTTCAGTCCGTATGTAGTCCATATTAAAATATCCAAAACATCTTATATTTGTGAATGGAGGGAGTAGTTGGTAAATACGAGAACTTACTCATGGAATAATGGATCTGCATGATCACGACCAGGGTGAACGTTTACAGCCAAACTTAAGCGCTCTGCAGATTCTTGGATTTCATCTGAATCTTCTCCACTACCATATAAATCTACTTCAAGATCACTTAACCTGCTCTGATATTTGGACAGAAGGTCAAGAAGCTCCCTATAACCCTTACTCCACACCATCTTCCCAATGTAGTATGCCCCTTTTGTGAAGGATGCCTCTCCATTCTGCAGCTGCTTCAATTTTAGCCTGCCAACCTCAAGAAATTTTGGATTCACACCATGGACATTGCATATAACAGATTTGGGTAAATCTTGAGTGGCACCTGATAGTCTGATTATCTGCAAGCCAAAGTTAGCATTGTATGATTCAGCTGAACAGGGCAGGATGATTCTGGGTTCTAGGAATTACAGGGTACTCAATTTCAACAATTTGTAATGAAGCAGAAGGCAAAGGAAGCAAGAAAATCCAGACAGGAAAATTCAAGCTACCTCCATTTTCTATTTTTAATTGACTATTGTTATGTCATAAAACATCAAACATGTCACAGAAATATTCAGAAATTTTGAACAAGCAAAATGCACCCTGGAAGTATGCCTATTTTTTTATTCACCATATACCTCATAAAAGTATGCATTTCACCACATACTCCTACACAGTCATTGCCAATTAAAACCAATGTCCAAATTATATTAAAAAAATACATATGGCGCAGTTGATCAAAAGTTCAAGCGGTAGATGGTAATTATCCAGCATACAATATTTGCAAAATTTTAGACGACAATACAAGATCTTTTGATATGGCTAAAGCAGGAACAACTATTGGGTCAGGGCTGCAGGATAAGAAAGGTTATGTTACAGATTGTTGATTCATCCTAGCAGTGCAGAAATTCTCTGTTAGATGATATTTATCTCTTCCGCATTTCCAAGGCAGTTTTTGTGCACATTTTCTCATGGTCTCTGATTAAATATCTATTTTTATCCATATCAGTCTCACATGATAAGGTCAACATTGTACTACTATAGAGTCATCATGGCTACGTTCACTACACTGAGGTCAGCAGATAAAAAAAGGCTAACTCATCAGAACTTTGTTGATCTTATATCTGAAGGATATACATGTGGGCATGCATGGACAGAGATTATGAATAGGAATCATCATGCTTGGTCCTGATTCTTGAGATAAATGAGACATCATGAACAGAGATACGATTTACATAGCAGAGGTGAATGTTTGACTGCACAAATTCAGGATGTTACCTTGTGGCAATAAATTCGGGTAACCCAGGTGTTCGCATATCGGAGGCAACAGGCAATCACTTGTCCATTCTTTTCTCTTCTCACATATGCTAGATAATTTGTGTGAATCACACCTATCACTCGCCTGAACTTATTTTTCCATCTTCGCCCATGGTGGTACCAATTTAGATGCTCAGGCTCCTCTAGAACAGCAATATCGGCCATTTCATCCGGAATGCATTCTGTGATATCCCCAACAGGTAGAATGCTTCTCATTTCTTTAGAAAACTGCATCATTAGAAAAGGCCGAGCTCTTTCAATCAAATAGCCTCAAAGCAAAACCAAATTACAAATTGGAGGCTGAATATACATATTGCCAGATGGATGACCACAACTACAGGATCTACCACCAGCAAGAACAAATCATCATCTATTGCGCTTAACTTCATGCAAGCAAGGGATCAAAGTTCTCTTTAAACTGTAATCAATTTCAGTCAGATATATTTGGAAGGAAACCAGCTGTGCAAAGTAAATCATGAAGAAGATAAGATGATCCTAAGAACACATTGGGCTGGAAGAACTGGTGTACCTTAGCAGGGTAGAATTTGATGCTGAACGATGGCCTGAAGTCGACCCTCTCCTCAATCCAGCGACGAACATAACCCTCTTGCTCCAACGGCGAATCAAACACAATCTTGTTTGGGTAAACCAACTCTTGGTCCCTTAGAGAAAGCCAGGGGATCACCAAGGTGACGTCTCTACCCCCATCCTTGGCAAGGTAGGCCGCACGGAACAACGGGTTGATGGAAGTCCCCGTCATCCACGGAAGGCTCGCGGTGGTGAACACAGCGAAATGCCGCCTCGCCGACATGGCGTGCAGCGTGCAGCTACACTGTGAATTCCACCCAAATTTTGGTCGATCAGCACGTTGCCGTGTAACTTCTCCCGTCACTGGAAAGGGCATAAGGATATGCATGAGCAATAAATTTGTGAATTGGTTTTTAAGACGTTGGTGCTAACAACTGAACAATCTCCATGTATGAATGGTCACGAGACACAGAGTAAACTGTAACAGCAGGTATGCATGTTGCAACTAGCAAGCACACGACACAAATCGCATGAAAGCGAGCTCCCGCGTGCTGTGGGAATACTACCGGTAATAAATTAAATAAACAAACGAATAGACGACCATTCCAAACGACGGAATCGAGCAGATTGGCGGGGAATCAGGGGCGGCTTACCTTACCACCAAGGGCCGTGTAGGAGAGCTACACGGCAGAGGCGCCGGGCCGGGTCGGGTCGGGGCAGCTCGCGGCCGGACGGACTCGGCCCGGCGGGGAGCGGCCGGCTGTGGCGACGAGGAGGCGGGGAGCGGCGGTTGAGCGGGCGGGCGGCTGGCGGCGGCAACAGAGAGCAGAGCTAGCGGAGCGGAGGGGGAAAGGGAGTCGGCCTGGCCACCCCCACCAGCACCTGTCGTGTCGTGTACTCGGTCGTGCGCGCGCGCTGGCGCTGGCTAGATCCCCCCGGAGGCCGGAGTGCTACTGTTTCCCCTGATCCAGTCCCGCGCGACGATGATGTGACGT